TTGCCAGCATTTCACAAGGACATTTAAAACAAAAATCTGGGTTTCTGGCCTTCTTTGAGAAAAACTGAAGCTCAGGCACCACAAGGCCTGTCTTTGCACGTGGAAGCCCACAGCTGGGGGATCGGAGGTTCCCCCCGAGGCAGCATCCCCTCTCCAGCTCCTCGAGGCCCAGCCTTCCCTGTTGTCTCTCCCTGTCCCTGTGTGTCAGTTACCTGTCATCCTTGCCCTGTGTCATTGCTTCCTTACACCTGCCCGCGTCATGTGTGTGCCTTGCCCGTCTGGCCTCTGTAAAATTTGACTTTGCAACCCCGGTTTTAAGGGTCCGGATACAGGTGGCCAAACTATTTTGTAGAAACGAGGTAGTAATTTTCTTGAGCTGCTTAGTAGCGCCCTACCTTCATGTTATTTGGTTTAATTTAATGGGCAATTATTGAGCACTTGCCATGTGCAAAGTCTAGAAGCAGCTGGGCCAATGGGAATCAAGTTGATGACAGGGTTATCGGTGTGGAGGCACCTGGCAGCCGAAGCCTGGGTGTGTGAGAATTTGCCAAGGGAGGGTAAACAGTGCCCAGCGATGCTTTATTAAAGGACAGTTAAGATAAGGACAGCAGGCCCTCCGGTAGCTTCTTGTCAGAGGCAATAGCAGGGCTGAGGGGGAGGAGGGACCTTCACAGGTGAGGGGGAAAGAGGCGGTGGAGAGCGAGTTGTGGTCACTGGTGCATGGGGGTGCCCGGGAGCTTGGGGAAGCAGGAATACAGCACAGGCAGGAAATTAGCTCTGAGCCAGAGTAAAGGGCACGGGGTAAAGATGACGGCAGGTGCGTGAAAATTTGCAGGTGGAGGTGAGAAAATCCTGATTGATGGAATCTTTTCTCTTGGAAGCATCAGCTCAATCCAGGGATCTTTGAGGCCTCCTGGAACCCAGGACTATTCTACCCTTGGCCCCTGATAAGGCGGTGTGATGGGCAGACTTGTGTCTCCTCCCCAAATTCATATGCTGAAGTCCTAACCCCGATAGCTCAGAATGGGAATGCATTTGGAGACAGGGTCTTTAAGGTGGTGATTAAGGTTAGGTGAGGCCATAGGGGTGAGGCCCTAATCCAACAGGATTGGTGTCCTTATAAGAAGAAGAGGAGACACGGAAATGCACACATGCAGAGAAAAGGCCATGTGAAGGCACAGCGAGAAGGTGGCCGTCTGCAAGCCATGGGGAGCAGCCTCAGGGGAGACCAAGCCTGCCCCTACCTTGACCTTGGACTTCCAGCCTCCAGAACAATGGGAAAATAGATTCCTGTTTTTTCAGCCACTCGGTCTCTAATATTTTGTTATTGGAGTCTGAGCAGGAACAGGAAATGGTAAGAAAAGAGGAAAGGGCTTTATGTTCAAATCACTAGCATCTCTGGCCCTTGGAACATTAATATTAAAATTTTTAAAAAACCTCATAAAATAAAGATGTTAAGCAAAACAAAGAAGATATTTCCGCTCAGAGGATGGGCTTTGGGTTCAAATGGACCCAAGTGTTCGATTCAGCAAGTCACATAACCTTCCTGAGTTTCAGACATTTTATTTGTAAAAAAGAGATAACAGTCCAGCTGGTGTGACTCAGTGGTTGAGCATCGACCCCTGAACCAGGAGGTCACAGTCCGTTTCTGGTCAGGGCCCATGCCCAGGTTGCAGGCTCGATCCCCAGTAGAGGGCGTGCAGGAGGCAGCCGAGCAATGATTCTCTGTCATCATTGATGTTTCTCTCTCTCTCTCCCTCTCTCTGAAATCAAGGAAAACACATTTTTAAAAGGAGATAACAAAACCCACCCCAGAGGGTCACTGTGAAAGGAAAATGAAATCTGTAAAAAACGTTGCGCACACTACCTAGTGACCACTGGCCGATGTTACTGGGAGAGGTGGTGTGTAATCAGGCTATGCGATTTCGTTAGTATTATTTCGTTGTTTTAACCTTCACCTGAGGATATTTTTTCCATAGCTTTTCAGAGAGAGTGGGAGGGAGAGAGAGCAAGAGAGAGACATCGATGTGAGAGAGACACATCGATTAGTTGCCTCCTGCCTGGGGCCGAGGATGGAGCCTGCAACCTCAGTATGTGCCCTTGGCCCGAAATGAACCCGGGACCCTTCAGTCCATGGGCCAAGGCTTTAACCACTGAACCAAAGAGGCCAGGGCTTGTTAAGTATTATTGAGGGATAAAGGAATTTCTGGGGTAAAAATGCTTGCGTTCACACCTTGTCATTCAGTGAGGAATTGGTGGGGGATACGGTGCACATAGCGACCCACACACAGGGCTTTGTCCTGACTCGGGTGTAGAACCACCATGAAACACAACCCTAGGAAACCAAACTCAGAGAGGCTAATCCATGAGATGTTTGCACCTGGCATCATTCCTGGCACATAGGAGGCGGTCAGAAGGTGTTAGCAAATGCTTTTATGAGTGAAGAGAGTTCGCTGCGAATGTTAAAAGGCTGAACATCCACAACCACCTGTTGACAGGTGTGTCAGTCAACCCTCTTAGTGTTGCGAGGGACACAAACCCATTCAAACCGGCGTACGCCAGAAAATTAAAATAAAATTTAAAAACTTACAAATGGAGGAGGAATTTATACATTGTCTTGGAAACTGACAAATCCGGGTGCCTGCCTGCCTCAGACATGGTTGGACCCAGGGACAGAGACGTATGGAGCAGCCTCTCCTCTGCTCTCCTGCACCGGCTTCCCGCCCAGGCAGGTGCACGCCGGGGGTGGTCCTGGCAGCTCCCTCCAGGCTCCCACCCTCTACACGCCCAGCCATTCACCCAGAAGCAAGCCAGCCTCCCTTTCCAAACAGTTCTGAGTCTTGAATGGATCCTGAGCCACCCAGCCGGGGTCACAAGACCATTTTTCTCCAGTTGGCACCACTCCAGGGCCCGGAAGTAGGGGAGAGATAATTTCCCAAGGGAGAACCTGGGAGCTCTCCCCAGCAGAAGGGACACTGGTTCCCAGGCAGGCGCGGACCACTGCTGCCCACTGGACTGAGCGTATGCGGGGAGGAGTCAGGTCGCCCACGGGTGACTAGGTAAGGGGGAGTGAGAGGCACGCCTCCCGGAGGACACGAGGATAGGTGAACAGAGCCGAGCTGGGGACAGGCAGGACCAGGAGCAAGGAGGGTCTTAAGGAGGCTGGGATCTGGACCAGGAGCCTGGCCACGCGGCATGTGGCACACTGACTGCAAAAACGGCTCTGATTCTCACCCACCCTGAATCCTCCGCAATGTGTCGTCACAGCATCTCTCATCCAGACTGTATTTCCCTTCCCCTAGATCCCCAGCTGGTTTGGTCACTTGCTTTGACAACAGACTGTGGTAGAAGGGATAGTGTGACAGCTCTGAGCTTAGGCCACAAGGGGTCTTCTGTGCCTTTGCTTTTCTCGTGGACCCCTGCCCTCCACCATGTGAGCTGTCCTGGCTATTTGGCCGGAAGGTGAAGCCACATGAAACCGTCCCAGCTGTCCCAGCCAAGGCCCCAGCCATGGGAGAGAGCCCTGTGTGGTTAGCACGGCTACCCAGCTGACTCACAGGTGACTGTACACACGAGAGTGAGTCCACTGGGCCCAGCTCAGAGCAGAAGTGCCCAGGTGACCCACAGACTCATGAGCAGTGAATGACCGCCGTTTTAAGCAACCGAGTTTTGGGACATGGTGTTGGGTGGCAAATCGATAACCAATATAAGGCATGTTAGGGAGAAAACCTAGCTAGTGCTCGGCCTCCAACCTGTGCTCCCTGCCTGGGGGATGGATCTACCACGTTTCTAACTTGCAGGAAAATGCCACACGGGCTGCCTGGGCCGCGGGATCACACCTGTGCACAGCCTGCTGGAGTCTGTAATCTCTGAGGTCTCCTGTGGGTGTGAACTGACCGCCTGCCATGTCTCCCAGAGACAGAGCCTTGGAAATGAAGGGAAGTCATGTGGGCGGCTGGGGAGAAACATACACCATGAGCCACATCTGGCTACATCTTCTCCCACCCTTGAATTAGACATTTTGGTTTAGACATTTCTATATGGTGGCTATGAGTGGGGGACCCCAAAAAGAACACACATGGTCTCAAAGAGGGGCTTGTGGGAGACTGATAAGAACGGAAGGGGTCCCCAGTCATTGTAGGAGCAACATGGGCTGTTTGTCCCAGTGGGAGGAAAAGAACCCGAGGGTTGTGTTTAGAGCCCGGTTCAGACGTCCCTGGAAGAAAGTGAAGGACAGAGGCAGCTGGAGCTGCCTGAGGCCAGGAGTTGCCAGTGGGAGCCTGGGAAGGGTGAAAGGACACAACACCCTCCCCATCCGCAGCAGCCCCTGCGCCCAGTGTCCAGGTAACTCTCCTCCACCCCTGGTCCTCACCAGGGGACCAGATACACAGATACAATGGCCACTGGGATCCCGGAATGTCCTAGATTGTGTCATTCACCCCTAAGCCTGCTTTACGCAGGGGACCTGTTCCAGGGACCATCACACCAACCCCCCCCATTGCCAATCAGCCACCAAATCCTGTTCATTTGCCACCTACACACCTCTGTTCTTTCCGCCCCCCGCTTGGTGACCCCCATCCCACTTCAAAGTAACCATTTCTCAACTGGACTGAAGTTAGTCCACTGAGTAAAAACCTCATCCTGCCACCTAACACGGAGGGTCTTCCTCATGCAGTCTTTCACGGTTTCTCTCCCCTGCTTTCCCCCACCCCCCTTCTGGGCAGCAGCCAACTGTAGTTTCTTCCAGTTTCCAAGANCAGTTTCTTCCAGCTTCCAAGACCCAAGCTAGGTGTGCACTTGGCCAGGTGCCTGCCTGCCTTCTTCCAAGCAGCCCGAGGCCCTGCTGGGTGAGGGGCCTCCAGGCCTCATGCTGTCCTGTGGTGCGGTGTAGTGTAGCGTGACCAAGGGCCTCTGCCTCCTTCTCCAGGGTTCGGGGTCCACGAGGTCTGTGCTCTATGACGGCGTCCCCCCCCCCAGCCCGACGGAAGCAGGCTGAGAAAGGAGGTTCAGATGTCTTTCCTCAGAATCCAGTGCACCCTGACCAAACCGTGGAGGAATGGACAGCAGATGCCATCCCAGGGCCGTGGCCACCTCGCAATGCACCTGCTGGTCACAGCCCCCCACCCCTCCTTGGCGCAGCCAGGCCCAGGAGCAGTGGATGGTCCTCCTGGGAACATACCAGCGCCCATGGGCAGCCATGGTTCACCCTCCCTGGGAGTCCACGTTTGTTCTTGCCCCGCGCCCCTAGCACTCAGGGCTGGGGCTCCGCCTGGAGATGGGGGTCCGGCCGAACCTCACACCTTTGAGGTGGCTGAAGTTCAATGGCTGAGGTAGCTGGAGACACGGGCTCAGTGGGCACAGCAGCCCGAGGTCCCAGGTAGGAGGTGTGCGAAGGAGGTGTGGCCCAAACCTTGGTGGCATTCAGGCTGCCCTCTGGTGTTCCTCTCCACACCCAGGCTGAAGGGGGTGCTGGGCTTCTGCTGTCACCAGGCCAGGGGTGAAGCCATCCCGGAACTGCGCGCACCCTCCCCAGCCTGCAGGTCACTGAGCGCCCGCTGGGGAGGGAGGAACAGGTGGGAGGGCTTGGTCAGTGGTTCTAGGAGCCCCCTGATACCCAGCACCTGCCCTGCCTCATCTCACTACCCAGAGCCAGGGCGGAGATCTATCACCCTTCCCGGGTGGGGGGGTTTCTCACTGGAGGCGCTTTCTCAACACCCCACTTCACAGAAAACCCTGTTTCTTTGACCTCTGGCCCTGACCTCTCCTGAGGGGTCCCTTAAGCCTTCCACCCAGCTCACCTCGAACTTGCTCATGAACTCCGCAAAGATGCCAAAGAAGGCCTCCGAGGTGGTGGCTTTGGAATCCTCCCCGAAGAAGGCCAGTGCCTTGGCCAGCTCCTCCATGGCCTCTCGCTGCAGCCCATCCAGCGCCCGCAGCACCGGCTGCGCTGTCTCCAGGAATGACTGATGGGCCCCTGTTCAGGAAGCTGCCGACCTGCTGGGTGTCCCCAGTTCTCGGGCAGTGACCCCCGACAGCAGCCCAGCTGCCCCACTGCCATCTGCCCCAGACCCAGTGCTCAGCTGGGAACCATGCCCGGTTCAGAGGCTCCAGTCCTGCTGCCCACCCCCACCCCTGGCTCATCCTGAAACCTGCCATGTCCAGTCGGGCCTCGGGATTTTCCCTGGTTCCTCTCTGCAAGCAGCTCTCTCTTCCCTCCTGGCTCTGCTCAGGTGCCACCCCCCCCTTCCCCAACCATTCAATTGGAGTAGCCCCTGACCCTCTCCACCCGACCCTTTCTGTCTTTTTCTATGCCATTTGTCACTATCTGTACTCAGTGGGAGTCTCCCCCAACTGCCTCTGACTGGCCAGGGTCTGGGCTCTCCTGGGACCAGGGTGCTGGAATAAGGCAGCAGCTTTAGGACAGTCAAAGGAGCTCCTTCCCGTGACACCCAGACTTGGCCTAAGTGCTTTTCTCCTACATGACCAGGATGGACTGTCTTCCACACCCCGACACATGGCAGCCTCTGCCCAGAACCTCTGTGGGGAGACAGGGCCTGCAGGGTCACCAGAGCCACAGCCAGCTCCACCTAACCGCTCAGGGCCTAATGTGCCACTGGGACAGGCTGCTTAAGGATACCGTCATGACAGCGGCGAACTTGTCCTCGCTGGAGGGGGACATGCTCTGGCAGGCAGCCTGTATCTCACGGATGGTGCAGTGGAGGTCATCCAGGTCACTGGTCAGAGCCCGCTGGTTCACTGTAGGGAAGGGGACAGAGCCTCATGGGGCCACACTCCCAGCCCAGGACAGCACTGCCCCTGCCTCTCCATCCATCCGCCCAGCCTACCTTTGGCAGCCAGGGGCACGGTGGGCAGGTCCTGAGCGAAGCCCAGGAGTTCAGGGAAGTGCTGGCTCAGCGATTTGGCGAGGATGTGCAGGAAGGTGGACTTCCCGTCCACAGTCTTGGTGGAGTTCAGCTGCAAGTGACCCCCAACACGCATCCCCGTCAAGGACCCCATCAGACTCCCGATCACCTGGGACCAGGTGCTCTCAGCCCTGCTTCTCTCCAACTGCGCCTTCAGTTCCTGGCCCTCAACACTCACTGACTCCAAAGCTCGTAGCCTGACTGCTAGTGCTCCTTACTTGGAGGTCTCACCTGCTGGGATGCCACAGGCCTCCCTAGGAGTCTGGAGGTTCCCTGGCCCAGATCTTTGAGGTCCCTGGGAACCAGGCTTCCAGCTAGAGGAGGGTCCTAGGTTTCTCTGTCCTTGTGAGTTTGCCATTGTCAGCAGATGGAGCCCAAGCTTCTCTGACTCCAGGGGGATGGGGAACATCACTCATAGATCTTCCCTCTTATGGTTTTCTGGAAACATCTGTGACCCATCTGAGCCTCAGACATCCTAAATCATTTATATCTACAAATGGAGTCCTCCTCCTTTTTAAAAAAAAACACACACAAAAAAACCAAAAGGCACCCCAGGGGAAAGTCTGGGTATTCGAGCTGTCCTTATTTCTGATCCTAGATCTTGGGGGTACGGGGAGGCAGCTGGACTGACAGTGATGGTGCTGTTGAGGGTACAGAGCCTGCCAGGTGGGCTCTCCCCTTCCTCCTGGGGCTCTTCCTCCCTGCTCCCAGCTACTCCTTGTGGAGGACTCCCCCCTCTCCCCAACCTTTGCTGCAGTCATATCCTGCCTGGCCTGCAGGCAGCCAGCTCTTCCTCCTGGGGGAAGGGCCCTCCTTGGTCCCTTGGTCCCGATGTTCCCTCCTCGGCTCTGCCACAGTTGGTTAGGCCTGGCCTCCCCAACCTGGATGGCAGAGCAGGGCTAGCTCCTCACCTCTGTCAGGAAGTTGATTTTGAAGCCCGTGGTCTTGTTGGTTTTGGGCTGTCCGTCGTTGAGATAGTTGCCCATGGCCAACACAAACTGTGGAAAGGAAGGTGGCAAAGCAGTTATTCACTCCACCCCTCACCTGGCCCTCAACCCCGGGCCATCAGGATGGACCCCCAGGATGGAAGCCCCAGGGGCCAGAGGAGCAGGTAGAGTGACCAGGGAGGGGTGTGCCCTGACCTCCAGGATCTTGGCGAGCTTCCGGCTGTTCTTGAGCTCGAGGGAGGCCTGGCGCAAGCACTCCAGGCTGCCCCGGATCTCTTCCGTCTTCTCCTGCAGGGTAGCCTGGAAGTGCAGGCTGCGCAGGCGGGTTTTGTATTCGGGAACCGAGAGCATCTGCCGGGAAGGCAGGGCCAGGATGCATCCATCCCGCCAGGGAGGCCAGGAGACCCCCTGCCCCACCGAGGCCTGGGGCGGGGTCCGCTGGCTGCCCGGGCCAGGTGCTCCCGTAGGAAACATACGCACGGCCTCTAGGGGGCACCCTGATCCCATCTGCTTTGGACCCCACGTGGAACCTGGCCATTAAAGGTGTAAATTGGGACTCAGAGGTGTGAGCGCGGGGGCGCACGTGGAGAGGGACCGACGCGGGCCCGGACATGGCGAGAGCCGGGTGGAGACGCTGGGCGGGCCCCGCACCTGCAGGACGAACTGGTCGGGCTCGCTGAGGCGGCCGGGCGCCTCGCGGAAGGCCTGGTAGCGCAGCTCCTCGTCGGCGTCGGGCGCGAAGAGCAGCAGCTGCGCCAGGTGCGCGGGCTCCAGGCGCCGGGGCTCCATGCTCATGAGCACCTGCCGCAGCTCCGCGGGGCTCAGCTTCAGGTGCGCCAGCAGGAT